ACACACATATGTCGACGATCCCACCCCAATGTTCCAGCTCATCAAATCCCTCTATGGGATCAAGCAGGCCCCGCGCCGGTCGCAGCAGTACCTACACAGGATCCTGGCCACCATGGGCTTCGCCCAACTTCCCCACGACCAAGGCATGTACAGGCTATCCCGCAGCGGCGGCTACGCCCTGCCGATAGTCTACGTAGACGACCTGCTCTGCGTTGGCTCCTCTGCTTCCATCACCGTCTGGTTTGAAGGGGAGCTGGAGCTTCAGTTCACCATCACCGTGTCGCCGAACGTGATGCAGTACCTTGGCCTCAACATCACCGACGGCCCCGACACCGTCCACCTCTCGGCGTCGAAGTACGCCGAGAACATCGCTCAGCGATTTGATCTCTCCCGTTACCTCTCACTACTACGTACGCCTACGCGCCGCAAGTTCCCGCGTCGACTGCCTCGCTACTCGCACCAGCTAGAATCCGGGAATATCAGCAGAAGCTGGGCTGCATGCTGTTCACCGCCGTCACCTGCCGTCTTGATCTCTCCTACGCCGCTACCTAGCTCGCTATCTACCTTAAGCGACCTGAAGGGGGGAATCTATAGGAACTCGATCGCGCGCTTCACTACTTCATCTCGACCCCGACGATCGGCCTGACCTACCACAAAAACGCTACTACCAAGACCAAACTCATCGGCTACGTTGACGCCGATCAGCCCGGCGATAAGGATACAGGACGCTCTCACACCGGCTACATTTACCGTCTGGAAACTATCGACACTATCTCCAGGCACTCGGGAAAATAGGAACTAATCGCTCTCTCATCTGCTGAAGCTGAAAATATCGCCCTCTGCATAGCCACAAAGGAAGGACTGTACCTGCGTGAGCTGCTCAAAGAAGCGAAGATTGCCGAGTTACTGAGCTTCTCTATCTTCTGTGACAACCAATCAGCAATCAGAATCGCCAACAAAAACGGATTCGCGAATAGGACGAAGCACATATCGCTTCGCTAGTTTTTTGTGAAGGACGAGATCGAGCAGGGACACCATGAGGAACAAGTTAACAATAGAAGAGAGACAAGCTACTTTTATGTCTGCTAGAAGTACCTGTTCAGTAATGTATCTGTTCAAAACTATTTGCGCTATGCGCTCCAATCGCTCTGGAAAAGGGACGCGACTGTTCGCGTGACTGAAACGGCCTGCTGTCGTAATCATCCAGACGAGCGTTATTTGCTGACGTCATTCTACAGATGCTTACTATAGTATAACTCGATAATATCTATCGGAACTACTTACACAAATGCTTAAGTACGAATTTATCACAACACTCTCCTTCATTTCTGGAAGTCCGATAGTGTTACGTCTTGATAATTGTGCAGAGCTCGTTGCAGTACTGGAACTTCTAACGTGTCAGCTTCTTTGTGAGAAAATCTGCACCCATTTCATTGGTCGAGCTGTAAACCAATCGCATTCTCCCCTTCTCGACTTCATCCTTGACGAAGAAGTATCATAGCAAAATGTGTTTCGTCCTGTTGACGAAGCCGGGTTGGTGCACAATTCTGATCGCACTTTGGTTGTCACACTGCAGCTGTGTACTTGTCGTCAATTTCGCTTCCTCCAGTAGCTCTTGTCGATAGAGACCTTCGCGAGTAGCTGTGCAAGCAGCTATGAAATCGGCTTCAGCAGATGATAGAGCTACGAGCTCTTGCTTTGTAGAATTCCACGAGATAGTCCTGATAGGTTCGAGACGATGGATGAAGCCGGTGCGAGATCGGCGATTAAAAGTATCTGCTGCATGATTAGCATCAATATACCCGTTGAGATATAGAGTTTTTGTAGTGGTGACTTGATAGGTAAGTCCGACTTCAGGTGTCGAAATGAAATACTGTATTGCACTGAGAAGATCTAGCCGATTCTCCCCCTCATGTCGATGCAAATATTGCGCGAGCTGGCTAGCGACATAAGCGAGATCTGGGCGACACGTTACGGCTGCAAACAGAAGACAACCTAGCTGCTGCTGATAGAGCTATAGTTCAGTGTTGTCAAGTGGAGTGGTATCGGGTTTATAGTCCGTAGGTAGAGATTGGTAAGGTGTGGTGACTGTTGAAGGTGTGAGGTTAAAATGTGCGGTTAGTGTAGCGGCGTACTTGGAAGCGTAAGATGAATAGCAGTTGGTGTGCAGTGAATGTTGAGGTTGAGAAATTGTGTGACAGTAGGTATGATGGTGATCTGTAGGTGTTGTTGAAGTGTGTGTTTGAAGGCAGTAGCGAGGGAATCAGTGGTGCTAATGTAGAGTAAGTCGTCGACATAAGCGACGAGTAGTTTGTAGTCGAGTCCAGCGGTAAGTAAATACATTCCTTGGTTGTGTGGGGGTTGACGAAACCCATCAGTTAGTAAGTGAGCATGTAGATACTGTTGCCACAGTCATGGAGCATGTTTAATGCCGTAGAGTGACTTTTTGAGTCGGCAGACGCTAAGGGGGCTAGTTTTGTAAGAATGCGGGTACTCAACCAGAATTAATGCGTCGACGGGTGCATATAAAAATGCATTAGCGACGTCGATTTGGCAAAGTTTCAAGTTTCGGCAGGCTGCGATACAGAGTAGGATGCGGACACTAGTGTGTCAGCCAACGGGAGCAAAGGTTAGCTTGTCATGGAGTCCAAAAGTCTGCTCGAATTTGCGGACAACCCATCGCGCCTTGAATTTTTCAAAGGAACCATCAGCGTTCGTCTTCATACGAAAAACCCATTTGTCGGTAAGTACCTTACTCTCCATGGCTTCTTTCAGTGGGATCAAATCCCAGGTACCTCGCTTTTCTAGAGCCGCCAACTCCCGGCCCATGGCTTCTCGCCACTTTTCCCTGTCTGGAATGGTCTAAGCTTGGTGAACTATTTTCGCCTCCAAAATCTTGTTGTTCTTCGACTGTACTGCGACTGCGAGTCCCAATATTTGTAACCCAATTTCTATCAAACGAGGACGATTTGAGTTGACACTGGAGAAATTATTTTATGACCCCTGCTCCCCCCCAATTTCGTCACGTGTCACACCGATAGCCGGTTCAGAAACAATGGGCATGGGCTGCTGCTGGCGATCATGTTTATAATCAAGAAGAACGTCCCTGACATCTACAGAGTCGCTGAGTGGAATAAAATCAGCAGTTCTAGCTGACGTGGCTGGCACGGGGATGACTGTGGCTTCTTCGGAAGCCTCGGCAACTGCTTAATCTTGTACGTCTGCTTCAGCTTCGTCGGTAGCAAAAGCACGCGAGCCTTCGAACAGCTGGGTAGGGTTGGCAGCTGCTGCCTGTTGAGCACGAAAAACATGTAAGGTGAGTCGGTCGTAGAAAAGACAATCATGTGCTGGTATGATTTGACTCGTGCGAAGATCCATAATTTTCCATGTGTAAAACTGCTTCTCGATGACAAGATGAATACCCGACTTAGCCCGTTCTGAAAATTTCCCGAGAGCTGTAGTTGGAGGCCGGTATTGGGCGATGCAGCCAAAAAATATTGAAGATACTCGGTGAAAGTGGTGCTCGTATACTCTCTCAGCGACCGCGAGCCATGCGACGAATATAGAGTGAGCCGTATGGCGAGCTGGAATGTTGACAGTCTAAACGTAACGAGTACAATCTTCGATAAAAGAGATCATATAGAGCTAACTGTTGATGCCATATGTCCTTTTTTGCTATGTGTCCTATTGAACGCAGATAAAAAAATCAGCATTAGAGTAAAAAGAATAAATGATGAAAGGAGAAAGCGCTGGATATTGTTCGAGTTGTCGAGGAACGAAGCGAGAAAGAGGTGACTTCCACGTCGAGAATTTCTTCTGGTTCCAATTTTAATTCTCCTTCTTCGATATCTGTTATTGTTGTATCTGCTGCAGATTGACCGATGAGAACCCTTGTTTTTGCTTCGCTGCTACTTTGCTGCTTCTGCTTCACTGCTTCCGCTGTTTGGCCCCCAAGGTACTTCAGGTTTGTTGGTGAGTTGTGCTAGAGTATTATAATAGTTCCGCCACGCTGATGTATCTTCTTCGGCTCTGTTTGTTGGCATAGAGCTGTGATAGCTGCAGCGGCTGTACGAGAGGTTATTGGAACTGCAGTTGAACGAAAGTCCGCGTCTACCCTTTGATAATCAGTTTCTTCAGGATGTTGCCAAGGTCCAAGAGAAATCGCTCTTTCGGAATCACCCGAAGTTCCTTGGGCTACAAATTGAAGAACAGAGACGCCATATTGGGTGGCGGCTCTCCCGATGTAAGTAGTTGTCCTGTTGTGATAAAGTTCTTGGTCCATAGTCTCACAATTTCCTTGTGTCCTGATCTTATGTCGTAGGAGTTGAGCTGTTGAAAGAAGATTGAAGCCAAGTCCGGCGACGATGAGGACGTTCGTAACGGGTAAGGAAAAACCAGCGTCATTAGATTTCAGCATGATGCTGCCGATCGATAGTGCCATAATGGTTTGTCCATTTCCGAGTGTGATAGGTACAGGCATCGAAGAGGACATTGATGAGTAATTAAAAGCGTCTCGGCAGAGAACATGTGTTGACCACAACAACTGTCGAGATACCAAGTGTTTGGTCCTGCAATAGTCCGAGCGAGATTAGCGTAAACCTGAGGTAAGACCATATTTTCAAGTTGTTCAATTGAGCTGGTTTCTTCATCGTCGTTGAAATCTGAATTAGTTGCATGAACTATAGCAACACAACTGAAAACATGTTTTCCTGATGTTTCAAAAGTTGTTGTTGGTGGATTCTGCTTCACAGGTTGCTTAGACTGCTGCGACGGCTGCTGCAGTCCTCCTTTCTTATCAGCTTGAAGCTTGTTGCAATATTTAATTATGTGTCCATCCTTTTTGCAGTAGTGGCAGAAAACCTTGTTTATGGGTTTTGCAGGTGTTGAATAGAAACTGACATGAACTACCCCCTTTTTCTTACATGCTACTTGCAGATCAAGGTCTTGCGGCTTTGCTTGAAGAATCGAACAAATTTTAGCTTCAAAAGATTTGGTTGAATGCGAAGAAGAGATCGACATTGTCACCATTATCGTCCAAGGCCGGCAAGAAGAACTGTTACAAACATGTCCTTTGGGAAGTATCCGCCGCATTTTTCTAGTTGGTCGCGAAGTGTGCGAGCCCTGTTGATATAGTCCGAAACGTTTTCGTTGCCCATCACCTGCACAGTTGTCAGTTGTGAGAGAATCTTACTCACGGAAATGGTATCCTGTGCCATGTACAGCCCCTTTAAATGCTTCCAGACAGATTCAGCTGGAGTCAGGCTAGTGTGAAGAGAGCGTATCCCGAGCTGCTCTTTCAGCGACAGAGTTAGGATAAGAACTGCATAAGCGCTGAGTGAAGCATGAAGAAAACTCTGCTGCTCCATCTATGTTCCCCTGACAGGATACGAATAATCGCCGCTGAAGAAAGGCCACAATCCAGCGGATTTCACAAGGAGCTCGAACTCGAAACTCCAGGAGTAGAAGTCAGCTCCATTAAAAGGTATTGTTGTCTTGATCTGTGTGTTGTTTAAAAGATTTGGAGCCTGGAAAACAGGTCCAGTAAGGCCAATCTATTGCTGCGGAAACTGGTGTTGCTATGGCTGGTATTGAGATTGCTGTGGAAACTGTTGTGGCTGTTGCTGTTGTGCTTGAAATTGTTGTTGCGCTTGTTGTTGTTGTTGCATGAATTGGAACTGTTGCTGCTGTGCAGGTGTAAACACAAACGAAGAACATGAGCTTGTAGCAGCTGCAGCTCTTGCATAACTGGAGCCATTAAGACTCATACCATTAAAATCTGTTGTTAGTGACGCTGCTGTTTGTTGCGATGGTGCTTGTTGCTGTGATGCATGCTGTGGTATTGCAGGTGCAGATGACAAAGTCCCTGGTGGATGCACAGTAGGCAACCCTTGCTGCTGTTGAGGCATCCCAATTGAAGCATATGCAGGTGGAAATTTTCCAGCTGCAAAATCTCCTGCTTGGCCTGTAAAAACAGTAGGATTTATAACACCCTTGGGTCCAGTTGTTGAGGAACCAGCTGTTGGAGCTGATGATGGTCCAATCATTTGTAGAGTAGACGATAGTCTTAATGCTAGATAGCTCTCATACCATCTGAGAATTTGTAAAACGGTGCAGAAGACTAAGTATAGAAGATGCACACACAAGTACTTGAAGTAGAAAATAATATTGGATGTACCTCCAATAATAGCTAGTATTCACAAGTTGTAACACCAGAATCAGTGTTACAGCCTTGTGATACTTTAAGACTTGAGCAAGGATCTTTAACGGAATGTTAGAACTAGTAAGACAGCGGAAGTCTTACAACTTGTAAGTGTTGACCAGAATTTACTGAAGAACAAGTTAACAATAGAAGAGAGACAAGCTACTTGTATATATGCTAGAAGTACCTGTTCAAAACTATTTGCGCTATGCGCTCTAATCACTACTGTAAAGGGACGCGACTGTTCGCGTGACTGAAACGACCTGCTGTCGTAATCATCCAGACGAGCGCTACAGCGACGGAAAGTATTGTCCACATGTTTGTGACTTAGAGGAATTTTGCCATTGTAGGGGGTCATGGACATTAAGCCTTAATCTTCTGGTGTGCCTAGTGTATGTAGGTTGGGGTAAGGCTCCACGCCCATGCCTTACATCACACAAGTATAATGATGTTTACAACAAATACTAGAAAATAACAATCTTGGTACATGTGGACAATTATTGCCAGGCGCAAGCAGCAAGTTACATCAACCCCAAACTAGTACCTAATCCACCGCCCTTTCGCCTTAGACACCGCCCTCACCCTCCTGGGCATGCTTTCCACCAGGTGGGTGCACACATCCGCCGGGATCTTCTCCCATTTCTCCTGCACCCGCTCCCAAAGGTCCAGCATACCAGCGGGAGGCTTATAAGGCTTGGCCATCTGCCTCTTGAGATGAGCCCATAAATGCTCCATTGGGTTGAGGTCGGGTGAGGAAGACAGCCACTCTAGCACCCCTGAATCTTACTCTCAAAGCCACTCCTGTACGATACGCGACTTGTGCTTCGGGTCGTTGTCATGCTGGAAGATAGTTTTTGAGGGTGTAAGCTGGTAGAGCTCAATCTTACTGTTGAGATCGTCCTGCAGTATACTCAGCGAGAGTAGTCTGTCCACCCTACCATATGTTTTGCTCATGAAACCCGCTCCCTTTTACGACATGCAGTCGTAAATTATCAAGCAACCGCCCCCGTGTTTGACGGTCTGCTTGATTTGGTGTCTTTGGAGGGCAGTCCCTTCGTGAACGCAGGCGTATGAGATTCAGTCGGATGCAAGACGACCGATCTTGGTCTCATCCGCACAGAAAACTCGCTTCTAGTCGTCGACCGTCCAGTCTGCGTGGGCACGCGCCCATTCCAGCCTATCGCGTATGTTTTTCCGAGAGTGTCGCGGCTTCTTGGGATGCTTGATTGCGACAAGTTGGCTCCCATTCAAAGCGTTACGCAAGGTCTTAAGATGCAACGTGATGCCGTGCTGCTTCTCAACGATTTTCGCCACGTGAGCGGAGATTTCTGCCTCCTCGAGGGTAATCGACCGAACTATGCCGCGGCGAACTCTCTCTGTCACTAAGCGAGGGCGACCGGCTGAGGGCATCGTAGGACGCACGTCATCGCGGGTAGACTCTAAAATCGCCTTGATGGGCCGAACTCTTCCCTATGGCTAGCTGTTTAGCGATTCAACGATTGCTCTACCCCCTCCGCAACAAGGGAATGATCTATGCGTAGAGCGCCTCATCTAACGGTTTCATGACGGCCTAATCATCGCAGCGGTCCTAGCCTATCTCCTGACTACTCGATAGTCGCGAGGGCAAGTAAGAAGAAATAGCGAGGTTAGGAAATAGATCTACTACGCTGCTTGGCCTAAACTGTCCGGATGCACCCACGCGGACAAAATCTCGTCCTCGGTAAAAAATCGACCCCTATAAAACTGAAACCAGCATCCGTCACATACAGTACAGTACTACTTTACATCCAACCCCGAAATTTGATTCGTAACTAAACAAAGAAGGCACCAAACCAGTACGAGAAATGTTTTAAGGCAATTATCCGGGCAATACTTTCCGTCGCTGTATTTGCTTACGTCATTCTACGGTTGCTAACTACATTATAGCTCGATAATATCTATTGGAAGTACTTACAGAAATGCTTAAGAGCGTGTTCTTACGAACCTCTTCCCATCCTACCTCTTCCCAGACTCATGCGCTAGAGTGTCGCAAAATTTGACGCGAAGTTGTTCACTACGGTTTCGCGTGGTGCGACGCGACAGTGGGTTTGTCGAAATTCAGGGCGTGTTCTAACATATTTTTTCTTGCATCCTCTTTCCTGGCATACGCGTATATGTACAGCGCAATTTCGACACGATGTTTTTCTGTTGTGGATCCTAAACCTTGGAACGCGAATCTAAAACGGAGCTTGTCTGAAACGGGGTTCTGCGAGCGCGCTCTCAAGCGAGCGGCAAATCTGGGAAGAAGGCTAGCCTTGGACGAGGTCCGTAGGAACATGCTCACAACAATTACAGCTATGCGATACTCCTAAAATGCCTTTTATCATTTCCAACAGAGGGTACAGCATAAATATAGGAACCATGTCCTACATGTGCCTCATCATTCATTCTTTCTGTTTGACAGCAACGGTTTATTTTCCAAAGAAATAATTTATCCATACGTACCAATGCTTTTCATCAATGGACAAACCAAGAGTTCAACAACATTCAACTACCGTAATCCCCCAACTATTGGACCCAATGGTCTTCTTAGAATTACATAAAAAAATGTCTAGGTGGACATTAACGCGGACGTAAATTATCTTATATATAATTCTAGGCTTGGTAGGTGTTACTGAAACTTACTGTAGAGGGTACAACACCCGCTCCTTGTATCCCTCTCTCTTCTAATCTCTCACTCTTTTCTCTCGTCAACTTTCTCCTAGCTAAACCTCTCACCATTTTCATGGCTTCCTAGCTACCTAGCTCTCGTAACCCCGACTCAGAGCCGGCGGTCCGCCCTGCTGGGCCGCCTCCTCACGGTTCTGCCGCGTACCCTCCCCCTTCTTGTTACTTCCGTGCCGCTGTGGCGGCCGTGTCGTGCTGCCATGGCTGCTTGTCGTGCTGCTGTGGAAGCCTCGACGCGGCGGCTTCGTCTCCCCAGCTCCCCAGCTCGTCATGTCGGACCCTGCTCGCCGCGTAGGACCCAGCTCGCTGCGTCGGACCGAGCTCTCCGCGTCGGTCCCAGCGGACCCAGCTCGCCGCGTCGGTCCCAGCTCGCATCGTCGGTCCCAGCTCGCCACGCCTGCTGGCTCCGCCCCGCTGGAGCTCAAGAAGGCCTAGCGCCTTCCTTCCCTGCAGTCACATCTGCTGCAAGGTATGGGGGTGCTAAGCTTAGAGGTGATGCATGTGGGGTGGGCTAATGACTACCAAGCCTAGGGGGTGTATTAAATTATATCCTATATATAATTGTAGGCTTGGTAGGTGTTACTGAAATCTATTGTAGAGGGTACAATTGTCAAACATATCATTGTATGTTATTATAGACCATACAGGGTTGTGCCTTAGGGAGTACAACCCATTAGGTTATATTCCCTTGTATGTCATTGTTCAAGTCATTCTTTCACTTCAATATGGTATCATGAGTAGGTTAGGTCCCCCCCCCCCACTAGCGCTTCCGCTCTAGGTCCCAGCCGCCCCGTTCCCCTCCCGCATGTGCTGGCGTGTCTCCTAGCCAGCCCCGTCGCCTAGCCGGCCCTCTCGCCTAACTGACCCCGTAGCCCAGCCTGCCCCGTCGCCTAGCCAGCCCCACCTCCTAGTCGGCCCCGCCTCCTAGCAACCCCGCCGCCCAATCGGCCCCGTCGGCCCCGCCTCCTAGCTGGACTTGCCGCCCAACCGGCCCCGTCGTCCTAGCCGGCCCCGTAGCTCAGCCGGCCCCATCTCCTAGCTGGCCCAGTCGCCCAATCGGCCCCGTTGCCTAGCCGGCCTTGTCGTCCGACCGGCCCCGTCGCCTAGCTGCCTCTGTCACCTAGCTGGCCCCGTAGCCCAACCGGCCCCGCCTCCTAGCCGACCCCGCCTCCTAGCCGGCCCCGTCGCCTCGCTGGCCTCGTCGCCCAGCCAGCCTCGCCTCCTAGCCGACCCCACCTCCTAGCCGACACCGCCTCCCAGCCGGCCCCATCGCCTCGCCTGCCTCGTCGCCCAGCCGGCCCGGTCTCCTAGCCGGCCCCGCCTCCTAGCCGACCCCGTCGCCTAGCAGGCCCCGTCGCCCGACCGGCCCCGTCCCCTTGCTGGCCCCGTCGTCTAGCCGCCCCGTAGCCCAACAGGCCCCGTCGCCTCACCGCCTAGCCGGCCCCGTCGCCTCACCGCCCGCGGCCCCGTCTCCTAGACGCCTCGCCGCCGTCCTCAGCCCTCTGCACCGCACTGCACCGCCCGGCACCGCACTGCACCGCCTGGTACCGCACTGCACCGCACTCCACCGCTCTGCACCGCACTGCACCGCACTGCACCGCTCTGCACCG